TCCGGTCTCAGATAATTTTTGAGTGGATTTCATGTTGTTTCTGAATAGATTTGAATTGAAAGTGATGTAACACTGCGAAATGGTGCTTTTAACGGCAGCTCTATCTGATGCTTTCAATAGAGATCCCCCCTAATGTTAAATAATTCTGTAACCTCCTGATTATCTGATATTACGGGGGTGGGCTTGTGAGGGTTACGTTAGTTAGTATTGACTATATGATATGACTGCGACTACAGAACTACTATAACCCCTATACGTTCTACGGCGGCCTATACTGTATAACCGTTATAGCCCGAGTATAATATGTACTGACACGGCACGTCACAGCATCGGGCAGAGGAGAATCTGCAACAAGGAATTGCTCAGCTGCGAACACCTTTGGCCTGCCACAGACTTCCTGCACCACAGACTGCAAGACCTGACCACTTTGACGTAAAGCTGCCTGTGCTGCTTTGACCGGTGGCCTGGAACAAAGGAATCAACGGAACACACTGCAACGTCCAGCAGGTCTTGGAAGATGTCAAGCAACTCGAGAATGTTTCGCACGATGTCGGGAAGCTCGTTACTTTTCTGGTTGCTACGAAGCAGATCCCAGAGTCCCACGTGCACTTTCCTTCGCTGACTCCCCGCCCGCAATGGCTACAATATTTCTGGCTGCGGATCTTACGCACAGTCCGAAGGGCACAGCATGACAGTTTCAGAATGGTTGAGCCCGTCAATCGACAGGAAGAAAGAGCGCGCTGGCACTTCTAGCATATCAAAGGGCAACCACGCACACAGCTCGCCCCTTTTTCGCCCTCAGACTGCATGCTGCTGTGAAGTGCTGCCACGCGCTTCGGTTTTGTGAAGGACCTGAAGCCAGAAGCTTACTGCTTCGATAAGGCAGAGGGAAGACATATGAAGCTGCAGACGGCAGGTGGGACAGCATTTTCTGTCAGCCTCTCTTGGCTCTCTCTGTGTGTCAAAACGGTGAGACTCCAAATAGCCAGGCAACATCTGGCAATTCCGTCGGAAAGGGGCCACGCACGAAGCTCATACAGAGACTAGCCTACGATGGTCTCAGCCGAAGCATCCCCGAAGCATTCTGTCGTGCACCCTTGATTTCCAGATTCGCTGCTGCAGGCAGTGCCCTCATATTGAGCAGGCTATGGGACGTGCTCTAGGCATTCGCGTGCAAAAAGGGGCCCTTTTTTCTTCAGGCGCAGGATGTGAATTGTTGCTTGAATCAGCATGCATGGCATGCAATTAGTTCCTACTGTATGGAGTGCCTAGGTTTATCTGATGCATTGGGTCTGGTGTATGCTTTGCATTGCAAGGTTCTGACCGAAAGAAACTGTTCAGCTACTTCATGCACGCCCACAGCAGCTTCGCGCACAGAATTACTGCTTGCATCGGCCCCTGCATGATCCTAATGCGCAAAGGAGTACTATGTTAGTCGATCGGCAGCCTGCCGTAACCAGTAGATCAGCCAGGCAGTTGCAACTCCTGCGGCCCATTGAAGTGGGACAGATATTTTCAGTCCATGACTGAAGATCCTCACACTTCAACCTCAAGTATTCTCAAATCAGTGTCTCCATGCAATGGCCGATGGCTTTCTGGGGAAAGATCAGCAGGCCTCATGGATTCTTCCTGCTGCTGCAGGCAGTACTGTAGTGGTCTGATTTCAGTGGTATCTTGCCGCTGGCCATTGTCTTGCTGCTATTGCTACTGTCATGTCATCAAGTCCTCAGTCATCCTGCCACAAGTAGAAAAAGTCGTGCTTCATGGCCTGCTTAGCCGTGGGCCGTTCAGCCGGATCAAGCCTGCACAGTGCTTCCACCAGTTGCCCAAGCCTCCAGTCTCATAGGCGCAAGTGCAAGTCTGCTCTAGCAATGCGATCAAAAGCATGGTGTCCATTAAAAGACGGCCGAAAGTTTTGATGCCAGCATGTATAACGCAAGCAATGCCAGTCACATGCAATAACGATAGGAGAACAACAACGACGACTGGAACCAACCTCCACACTTACCTTGCCAGAAAACTAGCAGCACAATTTCAAACCATATGATGTCCGGGCAACACTTCAGGGTCCCCCAGCCTCTGATCAGATTCCTGATGTCGCAAGTGTTGGGCAAGCGCCGCGCGACTGTGCACATAATCACAAGAAACGCTGGAAGATGCTCCTCCAGGCATTTACCACCAACAAAAGCGATACCATGCCCACTGCTACTTCATGATGCCCTCTCTTCCCTCTCTTCTACCGCTTCGAGCTGATGATTCCTACCCAGCACACACAACCAGGTATACATAACCATTGCCAACACTTGCAGGGACTCGTACTGCAACTTGCTGCTGCTTTGGACAGCGGCGACAGTTGGCTGCCCGTACTACTACTTACTGCACACGCTTTTACAACCTTAATGGCTACAACTCATACCGTTCAATGATTCTTATGAGCTTACTGAGCCTACCTTGTACCGATGACTTGCTATTGTTTGAGCTCGTGACTGCTGCTGTTGCTGCTGCTGCTGATTTCGAATAAATGCCGCGCACGACCAAGCACGACTCAAGCGCACAGCTAGTATGGACCCAGGTGTGCTTCAATTTAAATGCTATCTGTTGGTCCAAGCTCCTTCAGGCCAGTTCAGCGACCATCGAAGGCCGCTGGGACTTGACATAGTCCTCTTCAGGAGCTTGGACTTGACATTCTCTGATGCCCGGGCAGTCATGTGCTCGGGCAAAGGGCCAATGATTTGCTCCATCAGGGCTAAGTGCTCCATACTTTCATGCGTGCTGAAGAACATCTCGCCCGTGTACAACTCCATGAAGATGCAACCAGCTGACCAGATGTCAGACTGCGTATCCCATCCAGTCTCAAGGATGACCTCCGGCCCCCGATACTGACGTGTGTTGATTAGGCTGTTGTGGTCGTCCTCATCGCTTGCAGCGCTTGCAGCGTTCCCGAAGTCAATCAGCTTGATGCCAACATGCCGGGGTCGCATGTAGGGAGGGAAGCACCTCCTCTTCTGCCGCTCATCTGCCTGCATCTGTGACGCTTCCCAGAAATCCTTGCGAGGGAACCAGGAGACCCTCCCAGAATCCATACTTGTGACGAGGATGTTTTCAGGCTTCAGATCAGTGTGAATGAGATTGAGGTGGTTATGCAGGAAGGACAGCGCATACAAGATCTGCTTTGACATGATCTGGATGTCTTGAAGCCAGAATCCGCGGAAGTGGTTGGCCTTAATGAGCTCGTACAGATTGGGTCCCAACGGCTCCAACACCATGCAGAAGTTTCCGGACTCATGCATGAAGGCCTCGTACATGTGACAACATCGATGGCGGCCCCAGGGGTCCGCCTCACTGATCCTGGACAAGATATGAGCTTCAATCTGTGCACTTGAGGTATGACGTTCCACGTTGCGGATGATTTTGATTGCGACCTGACACTTCTTGTGCATGTCGGTGGCGAGGCAGACCCTCCCAAAAGTGCCATCTCCAGACAAGGAGTCAAGCCGATACTTTCTGTGCAGCACTTGGCCAGGCGACCATTCGAAGTGCTCAATCTTGTCCCCGCTGTCATCAGAGGAGCCCGCGCTCTCTGAGACTGTGCTGCCCCGAGCTTTCTGAGATGCTACGGACTCGATTGCTTTCTGTAGAGTACTCTCAAGAGTCCCACGCTTGTGACTCTGCTTCGGCGACCACCTCGGTGGGGTGCGGCTCCGGCCCGCGCGATGCATTGCAGTCGTGGGCATGTCCATCGTTTTGCATGGATCTTGGCCCTTACGTGGCATGACGAAAAGATTGCGGGAACTAGAATGTTTGAGACTTTCAAAGTGCGCAGCGACAACCCTTCGATCTCCTGTCAACCTGCCAACATGTCCGATGCAACAACTAGTGTGGAAGTACAGTGTACACTACCTACCTTGGGGGACTGCCTGCAGGTCGCAGTAAATTGTTGCCAAAACCCTCATGCCATTCAATCAGGGTCCCTTTGCAGGGCTCGTCCTGATAGTAACCGAATGAAGTACTTGCAGCTGTGACAAGCTCACTGCGTCTGAGATTGGTACTTCGCGACGCGTGTCAAGGCCTGCAACCGCGAATCTAAACTATAGCATGCACTGAATGGGATTTCTGACATGTACCTTGTACCACCTTCAACCTAAAAAATCTGGCGGCCACAGATCATACTTGAACAACAACGCTTCAAACTAGTCGAGCAATGCTGGTCTAGCCTTGTCTTTGCACACTCTTTCCAGCTCCTCCCAAACCTGGCGAGCGGGAACAATGGCTGGCTGCAGCTCCTCTACGACTCTATGGCCTCAGAGCCTGAGGCAGTACTCCCAGTGCTCCAGCACCCGCTGTCAAATTCGGAATTTGCACTTCTGAATTCTGAAGTACGTGACAGAACGCAACCGGCACTGACTTCCACTTCCGACACCTGGGTCTGACCCTGATGCTACGAAGTTCGGTTATGTTAGCATTGTTCCTCATACTTTCAGCCCAGCAATGTCCCTTGTCTGGATCTTTCCCCATAGATTTGCAACCTCTTAGCAAGGAAGCTCAGGGGAAGGCAGGCCGCATGTCGCTTTGGCCGATCACCTCCTGTTGCAGACTCATGATGCATCATGAAGTAGCTAGACTGCGGCTACATGTGAAGGAAAGAAATTAAGTAGAAACAGAAGGCTAGGCAACTACGCGTGTTCTGCACACCCGAGCCAAGGAAGCAGGTGCAGCGTCGTAGGACCGCGAGTCAGGAGTAACGTTTGACCATTGCCCTTGGATACGGCAAGCTCTGACTGCGAGTCCATGCTAATTGCTCCGAAGACGCGCCTGTAGACGTCCAACGGATTCATCGCACCAAAATGTAAGGAATTTAAAGAGTGATGTGGCCGCACATAGGAGGCCTGACGATTCCGGAACATAAGCGGGGAAAGCTTCCCTTTATGCATGCGCATCCTCAAGGATAAGAGGAAAGCAAACCCTGGGCCCCTAGTGTCGACCACAGCAAGTTGGCCATCTCAGGCCAGGCTTCCCTTCGAGCTGCGGAAAAGCAGGCGCGGGTTCTTCATGGAGGCTAAATCATCTGCATCGTCCAATAGCTCCACGATTGTCCCGAGGACATCTGGGTTGTTGAGATGAGGGTACGCGCAAGGCTGTCCCTTCCAATGTCCGGTGCACTTGCTTTCCAAGTGGTGCTTGCACACACCCTTCAGCCAAACCACCCGCTTGTGGCGTCCGCACGTCTTGTGCGGATGCACACCATGGGCGTTTGCATCAACACGAGCTGGCGCATAGTCCCACACGGGCTGGCCGTTGTTGGATCCCACAATCACGTTGCTTGCGCTGCGCTTTTGGAGAACCAACAGCTCCTGGCGCATGCCATGAAGGCGTTGATGGCCGTCCATCTTCCTGTACAGCTCTTCGAGCTCGACAAGGCTCACATGGTCCCACCAGCAATCTTTACCGTGGTAACAAAACCCTTTCAGGTAGCGCTTGCATATGTTCTTGAGCCACACCTGTTGGTTACTTGCTCTGTGCAGAGGACTTGGACACAAACTGCGGTCTCTGGCAGCCTCTACTGGAGCTGGCATCCAGCAAAGCTGGCGATGAATCAAACCAACAACCACAGGGCCGGCTAGTGCATTGTCTGGGGCAGGAGCAGCCGCCGTCACTGACGGCATGGCCACCGTTTGCGAGCCAGCACTTGGCACAGCTGACCAAGGCTTCCCCTGCGAAGCCCAGTTGGTCTGGCTGGCCATCTTCATCATCTCTTGATGTGCCTCGTGAGTCTGTGGGCTTTTCCGGGGAGTGGTTGGAGGAGCTGGAGTTGGCGGGTCTAGGCCTTCGGTGTCTTCAGTGTCTGGCGGTGGGCAAGACAAAGCCCGCTTTCCACAGGAGACTGGCTCCGGAGCTACCAGCTCATAGAAGGTTTTCTTGATTATGAGCTTTTGCTCCTGTTCAGCCTCAGCAACACCTTCGTTGATTTGCCTAGCACATTCCTGCTGCTGAGGGAGCCCACCCAACGTCGGCAATGTCTGCTCATCCCTTTGCTGATCCGGCTGCGACATTTTCAGCACTTGCGGTAATAGCGACACGAGCCAAAGCTAGTCTTAGGCACCCCTCTCCAACCTTGCGAGCCAGAACTTTACATGCGAGAAACAAGAAGCATGATAAGAGACATGCCGCATGCACCCAAGCAAGGATGTGAAGCTACCGTCTGGCTCGCCTTGTGCCAATGTCAGTGGGAATCCGGAAAGCTGACCTCTGAACCGGGCCAGGCTGCTCACTGCCAAAGATAAACTCTCAGGTTCATGTCTGGGCCTCCACACACTTTCGGACCGGATGTGTCTGCGCAAGAGGCTCTCCGGCAGCCAGGTGCAACATTGGGCCTGAAAGCAGCTGCAAGCGAGGTGGCAGTCATCATTGCAAAGGATTGCTGATTGCCCGCCTAAAGGCAAGACCTTTGTATTGTCCGCGCAAGACTTTCCACCGCACTCACCTTCAATGTAAGGCGGCTTCAAAAGAGAGAATCTACAGTACATGCCACGTCGTTACCGGGTTGCACTAAACTTGACTGACAGCCACACAAGCGAGGGCGTAGCAAATCGGGATCGATCAGTACGTGTAAATCTCTCAGCAAGTCACCCTCAACACATGCTGCTGAACCTTGTGCTGGCAAAACTGCAGAAAATGGCTTTGAACGAGCACTAAAGCAATCAAATTCGGAATGCAAGGGCTTTTCGGCGTGTCGCTTCCCATCTGATCGACAGTGCATGGCTTGAAGCGTACGGACCGTGTGCAAGTGGGCAAACATGTCACGCGCCTGCGCGTGCACGCTGCTACCTGCAGCAACCTGTCATGAGTCTGGGCAGGCCTATAATCTGACGTACTGAACATCATAACTGGAGCAGGCAGCACAAGTTACTTTTCCTGGATGTGCGCCGCTGGAGGCGATGGTCTTCCTACCAGCAACTACCAGAACGCCGGTGCGGCACTCGGCGTCGACGCAAGCAATGTCTCCATCGAAGTCGAAGACCACCAGCACTATAGGCTCCAGGAGCCGGAGGCTTCACCGAGAGGGGTGCTACCACATGGACCTCGGTCTCGGTGCCCCTTCAGAGCCATCACGACCAAGATCTTGAAGTTCAACAAGGCATGAAGTTCACGGGGTCCCACCATCTCACGGGGTTCGGGAAATGCCGTTGGTACTGAAAGGTAAGAACTCTGAAGGCTGCATCGGAAACTGCTACAGACTGTCGACTTTGGAGTCTCTGCGTCAGCGGCCTCACAGCCTCCAGGACCTTGTGGAATTGGCTCTCTGAAAAGACCGCACAAAGGTATTGAAGGGCTTGAAGTTGCGTTTGCTCGTTGTCCTGCTCTATCAGCTGCAATACACGATCCAGGAGTGCCTGGCTGTCTCTTTCGGCAGGAAAGGATTGCCCAACTCCCATTAATCATCCGCCGACCCCGGCTTCAGGGGGCGAGCGCACAGTGAAGCCCAGTTCCCGAAGGACTTTGCTTCATCGTTCAGCAGGCATCCATCGGGATCCACTTAGTCTTTATCTTTCGCTTACGTTGTTTCATCGTTCGGCAGGCTTCTCTGTCTCGGCTGCCTGCAGCCACTTAGTAGCTATCTTTCTCTTACGTTGTTTCATCGTTCGGCAGGCTTCTCCCTCTCGGCTGCCTGCTGCCCCTGCCCCCCTCCCCCCCAACCTCCTGCCCCCTCCCGACCAGCCCTCCTCCCCCCCATCCTCCTTCCTGGCTCATCCGAAAACCACAAAAGTTTTCTTTTCAGTCACCTTTCCATCCATGCTCCCTTCCAGTTTTGTGTCACTTCTACCTTCCATTCCCTCTCGGCTGCCCACCACCCCTGCCCCCCCCTTGCCCCGCTCCCGGCTACCCCTCCCCGCCCCAGCCTCCTCCCTGATCCAAAACCCGCAAAAGTCTTTCTTTTCCGGATTCAGAACTGTGCGGGCGCGCCGGCCGTAAGCTTTCTGCGTCACCTTTCCCTTCCATTCTCTCTCGGCTGCCCACCACCCCGCCTCCTCCTCCAAAACCCGCAAAAGTCTTTCTTTTCTGTCCGGGCGCGCCGGTCACCTTTCCCTTCCATTCTCTCTCGGCTGCCCACCACCCCGCCTCCTCCTCCAAAACTTTCTTTTCTGTCCGGGCGCGCCGGTCACCTTTCCCTTCCATTCTCTCTCGGCTGCCCACCACCCCTGCCCCCCCTTGCCCCGGCTACCCCTCCCCGCCCCAGCCTCCTCCCTGGCCCGGGATCCAAAACCCGCAAAGTCTTTCTTTTCCAAAATGTCCGGGTGCGCCGGCCGTAAGCTCTTTTGCGTCACATGGCAGCAAGCGCCTGGAACTGTTAGGGCTTTTGGGTAGGCTTTGTGCGCTTTGCTTCTACAAGGGTCTGCAGTCTGCAGGTATATATCTGAGGTTCTCCAAACTTCCACCACTCCCCCAAACCCTGTATCCCTGAACCTAAACATGGGAGACCCGAAAGCTGCACATAGCTCTCCTTATCCTTGACAGTGAAGACGTTTTGGAGCACAGACAAACATGACACAGACTATGGCTGCAGCGAAGGGTTATTTAAGAAGCCAGGTTGCACATCCTTCATATTTGGACTTTCGACCCCTCCAGAGAAATTCATATCTGCCTTGTAGCCGAGAAGGTCCTCTATGCAAAAGGGTCTTTCAAATACAAGCCCCCAAACTCTAATTTTGGAGTTAGGGCCTCAACTTCCTTCAAACCGCGTCCGAGAGACGTCACCGGAACTGAAATCGTTCTTGATAAGCATGCCGATCTTTCCAGAACCTAGCGAGGGTTTATCCAAAAATGAAAAAGTCTTTCTTAAAGGGGTTCTCATATTAAGGAGACCCATCATTTTGGGCCCTTTTGGGCTCCTTCGTTATGAGCACTCCATTGCAATTCCAGAGTTGGGCAATGTCAGGATGAAGGAAATACAAGCATAGCATAGACGCGAAACCCTACCTTAGACCCAAAAGACCTTTGGTTTTAGGGTCCTACAGTAGTAATTCCTTATATGAAGCCCCAAAGAGGAAGATTTTGTTGATTCAAGGTTGACCCTAGACCCTAACCCACAAGCCCAGACCCCAGATGCCAACTTTTCTGTTTACCTGACCTTGAAAGAGTCGCAAAAAGAGAAAGTTTAAAGCTTCCTCTAGTTCAGTTCTGCAGGATCGAATATTTGACCCCTCAAGGGTTGCAGCAACAGGTGTTTTTCCAAGGCCAGTTGACTGTTTAGGCATGCGGGCTGTGGAAAGAGCTTGGATGGAGACGAGTTGTACACAGTCCTGGGTTAGGCTACTTCAGTATACCCCTTGTTCCAACAAAGTGCAGCCCAGACTTACGCACCAAAAAAGGAACGAACCGTTCCTTTGAGCTATTTGCATGACTGCAGAGACAGGCCCAGGACTCCCTAAGCTACGTGCCCTTGGTAGAGGCTCCTCTTTTGGGTTGAGGGTTTAGGGTCTAGTAGGGGTCTGGGGTTTAGGCGGTTTAAGGATTTAGGGCTTAGGGCAAAGGCCAAGATGAGAGGATGTACGGTTTGGCGGCCGACTGGATTCTTTCTACGACTCTCCCTTGTGAAATTTAAGGACTGTTTCCATTCCTGCAGCTGGGTTTCGGGCTTAGGTGGCTAAAGCTCAAACTCCGTTCTGCGTCGATGACCCTTCAGAATCACAACAAGGAGAAAGCCGAAGAACACCAGGGCTCCCAGCCCTATGAAGAAAAAACCACAGCAGTCGAGAAGCCAGTCAGAGTTGCCTCAATCCACCCCACCACTGAGAATCCTTGCCAACCTCTGAAAGTATTTCCTTGGTGGAGTTGGGACTGCCTTCGTGGGCCGTTTTTTTGGGTCGAGAAACGTAGGGCTTTGGCCTTGCTCTAGACCAAGGTTCGCACCATGAGGATATGTGAGAATATTAGTTGGGACATGTTGGAATGCAAATGGCACCAATAATGACTTGGGGAAAAAGCTTTCTTAGTGATTGGGCTAGGGGGAACAATAATTCTGCAAAAATAAAACAACAATACCTGTGCGCAAGTGACTTTGAGGTGCTTCTATACCTGGCTTGGTTCAAGGCTTTCCGGGCTCCAGAGAGAGCATGCCTTCTCACATAAGTGGAACGGGGTCTTTGCTGGGGGATACAGACGTGCGCCTTCTCAGAACCCCCTCCAAGCATGTTCTCACATAAGACATTGCTACCTGGATCCTGAATCCCAGGTCCGCGTCCCAAGATGTCTATACATCTGGGGAAGCTGTGGAATCTGAATGTAAACCACTTGTGCTGAAGACTAGGAGAACCGGAACTCTCTCTGCCAAAGGAACCCAGAAAGCTACAATCCAAAAGCTAGCAGAAACCATACAGTCACACATCTGCTAGCTTGTCAGCGGTCGTGCGGCAAAAGGCCAAAATAAACGGCCAGCACAACTGCAGCTTACGTTCGTCCAACCAAATTGTGCCAACCGCTGATATCCCGGAACCAAAGCTCCAAAATCTCCAAACCCTACAATCGTCCCAGGTCTCCATCAGGGAAGGATATCGTGGAATTTTGTATGTTGAATCGCCAACCGGCGTAGTACATAGTGTCCTGCCAGCGTCCACTGACTCAAACCCCTTTTCTGTGGAGCCCTCAGCCCTGCCCTGCACATGAACCGGGACGCTTGGCTGGTGACTTTTACTAGTCTGAGGCATGAAGCTTCTAATGGGAAGGATTTCCGATTCTCGCGTTCCTGTGACGGACTCCTGTCCTTGAAGTTCGAACGTCCGGGAGATAAACTTGCCAAGTTCTTTTTTTCTAAGGATGCCATGTCTTAGAGCAGATTTGAATGGAAGAAACCAACGAACTGCGTGCGTGTTCCAACTCCTGCTGCTCTAAAGTCTGCGCACTTCCTTGCGGACTACTACCCTCTTAGCTGGCAAGCTTCTGTGGTTTGGACCTAATAACTTTCTTGACAGTCCCTGCTTGAATGTATCAAGTTCTTCAAGCATTGCGGATCGCCTTGGTCGGGAACAAACAGATGGGGCCCACGACCAGAGTG